ATTGTTAACATAAAATACTCCTCCTGATGATAAAGATTAAACATTTTTAAAGCTTGTATTAGAAATTTCAAGTAGTGAAAGTATTCCAGTGTCTATATAAAACATACCACCAGAATTCCCTGATTAGACATTAGTAATAGTAGTATCCTTTATAATAATATCATGACTTTAATTTGTATTAGCATCATATACAAACATAAACCCTCCAAACCCAAGACTTTTGATATTTGTAAAAGTACAATTATCTATTGTTAATGGCAAATAATTTTCAAGGTGGAAAACTCCTCCAGTCCTAGCTAATGATTAATCTACGAAAATATTTTCCAATCTAATACTTGAATTTTTAGCTGCCATAAATCCACCAAAAACTGCAGACATATTAGCATATACTGAATCAAGATCCGTAAAATTTTCTACATCTTCAAGATAATATACTCCTCCATACCCTCCAATGAAGTTGTTGAAAATATTAGCTCTTTCAATCACAACATTTTAACTAGACTTAAAACTAAAAGTATTAGGAAATAGCTTGATATCAGATCTATTCTATTATGGCTGATACTCACTATCAATAAAATCTGTGTCAATGTATAATTCTTGACTTATTATTTGAAGATCATATAAGTAATAGCTAGCTGATTCACCATATGCATTCATGAAATTACAACTTGCGGAGGCTTAATTACCATAGAAAATAGCAGGTTTTTATATTGTAAGGGATTTGATGCTCTCAATCAAAAATATTCCTCCAGTTCCTGCTAATGTGTAATTTACATAAATGTTGCTAATAAACAAATTCATCGAATTATCATTTATACTAAAGACTCCCCCTTTCTAAGCATCTGTATCGATGGCAGTAATGTTTTCTATAGCTACATCTATTTAATTAGAAAATTTTTCTGAGGCTTTAAAATAAAAAACTCCACCATTTAAATATGCTTTAGAGAGTTTAAAAGTTACATTATTAGATTTAAAACCTTAAATTCTTTCAAAAATAGCAATCTAACCTCCATCATGTGCATAATTGTTCTCAAAGTAGGAAGAATTTAATGTTAATTTACAGTAAGAGCAATATATAGCACCACCTAGAACTGCGCTTAAGCTATTGAAATAGCTCTTATAATCAACTAACTAAGAATAAACAAGTCCAAAAGCTCCTCCTCTATCACAATCATAGCATTATGAAAATGTATTACCTACTGATATGACAATATTTTCAGCATTTTTTATAAGAAATGAACCTCCGTAATTTTCTGATACTTCTTACGACTTAAATCTTGGATTATTGGTTGAATTGCATTAGAATGTATTATTTTTTATTAATAATTCCAAGTTCTCTGATTAAGAGTACATGAATGATCCATCATTGCGAGATTTATAATCAATAAATTGTGAGTTTTTTATTTGTATTGCTCTTGCACGCTATATGTAAAATACTCCACCTGAACCTTTCATTGCTGAAACATTTTTTATGAAAATAGGATCATTATTCATCCAAATGTCTATTTAAGGATTGTCTAAATAAAATCCACCTCCATTTGAGTCGCTTGATAAATGCTCTATAGATATCCTCCCAGAAAAGTTGAAATATGATTCTTCATTATCAATTGTATTTTTAGAGTAAATGAATCCTCCATCACCCTTAGAATAAGCTAATGTAATATTGATATCTGTTAAATTGAATTGAGCTTTCCCAAAAGCATAAATAACACCACCAGATATGGAAGCACTTGAATTAATTATACTAGCATTGTGAAGATTAACGCTAGAATAATAGCTATAAATTACACCTCCGAAATCTGCATTGTTATTGATAAATTTTGAATACCCAGTTAGATTTAAAATGGTATTCCTTAAATGAAATACACCACCATATTATCCATCAGAACAATTCTCAAAAGTATTATTGTAACCTTGAAACCCTTGAATATTGTCCATGATAACGAAAGCTGGACCTTTATTATGATTATTTTCTAGAAGTTTAGTACATAGTATTCTTGAATTCTTTACCTCTAATTTCGTATATTGAGATAAAGAAGTTAAAATTGATCCCTATATCTCTAGTTCATTATAATAATATCCTCTTGATTCAATAGAAGTTAAGTTTGATATGATAATTTCACTTGATTATTGGGAGTAAATAAGAGTACATATATCAAATGATTTTGGATCTTGAGACAATTATAAAGAATCAGTAACTTTTAATGAGATGCTTTATCCATTGAGATAGAACACTCCACCTAGACCAGAAAATGTGGTTGAATTTTCTATTATTGATTCTTTTCCTTAAATTTGAATTTAGATCAAATTGTCTTCCTAAGTCAAATCTTCTGCATGTATAAATCCACCATTTTCATAGGCTTGAGAATCAGAGCTATAAAAGTCGTGTAATATGATATGACTATTTTAATACAGTTTGAAGATAGCTCCTACTACTGCCCTATTTCTAGTGAATTTAGTTTTATTGAAATAGGCTATTGTGTTTTGTAAAGAAAAAGAACCACCAAATATAGCAACATTGCCATCGAAAGTTGAATTGTGATCCATGAATTAATTTATATTCTTCAATCTAAAAGCTCCTCCTTCATTGAAAGAAACACATTCCTTGAATACATTGTTTTCAGAATACACAATATTAGAATTTTCTAAATACACTAAAGTTCCTTTCAATTCAGTTATCTTTTCTTGGAATAGGAAGGGATTCTATCCATAATTATTTTGCATAATAATCTCAGAATTTATAATAGAAAGATTAAAGCCAGGATAAATTGAGTATAATAATGCACCTTATCCACTTATTAGATCTCTCATTTTTAAATCTTCAAGATAAAGATTTTTACCTTTATCGATGTAAAAAACACCTCCGTTAAGTTCTGAACTTATAGATTATAGAGAGCAGTTCCTTACAATAATATTTAGGTCATCATGAGTTGAGTATATAAAGCCTCCTTCTATATTAGCTCTTAAATATTTAATATTACAATCAGAAATATTAAGTTTATTTTCATCATATCCCTCAATATATATACCTCCACCATATTAAGCAGCAACATTATAGTCCATATAAATCTCTTGTAGATTCACATTAAATTAACCAACAAGATAAAGTGCTCCTCCGTTGAGAGCATAGTTGTCAATAAATTAAGTTTAATAAAAATAAGCGTTGCAGTAAAAGCAGTAAATTTAACCATATAATGCTGCATTTCTCTCAAATATTGACTTTTCGTCTTTAAGAAATATTCTTTCATCAAGGTAAAAATAAGAAGAATATTATGATACAAACAAATCTTAATATGTATTCCTAAAGGAATTAATATCTACTCTTTATAAGGAATCAGAAAAATAAAATGCATTCGATGAATTATATGACTATTTAGAAATTTAGTCATCAACAAAAGCCCAAGCGTCAGAATTTATGTCATAATTTGAACTTTTAAACAATGTATCATAAATATCGAGAGTCATAGTCGAATCTTAATTATTTCCAAAAGCATATGAAAATTAACCTTCAAGTGAAGATCTGAATTGGTTAAACTTTGAGTTCTTTATAGACATATTTTAAGTCTAATCAAATTTCGAATGTATAAATCCACCGTTTTCTTTAGCAAATGTGGAGTTTGTAAATAGCCCATCTATACTAACCTAGATATTTTTTGAGGAAGAAGAGATAAAACCACCATTTTTTGCTGAGGTTAAATTAATAAATTTAGATGTTCCACCAGCATTTATGCTAATATTTCCAGATGATATTAAGTTTAAGCAACCACCATCCTCCAATGCATAAAAATTACTCAATTCTACTGTTTAGAAGCTAATGTAGATGTTAGAACCTTAAATATCTGCTAGAGCTCCTGAAATTGCAGTTTGCATATACGTAATTGTTGATTATTTAATGGTAAGAAAGGTATCGAGGCTGGTGTAAATATTGAATAATCCTCCACTATATTAACTTTATGAAAAGCTAATTATCGAATTCTCAATAATATCAATGTAGGTGGTTGAACCTCGAATGAAGCCAAATCCAGAGATATATGATTGAATATCATCAATTTAGGAATTAGATACTAAAACCTTTTAATCTTTATCTCCAGCCATATATACAATTCCTCCTAAGACATTTGATTTAATCTAGCTAATGCGAGAATTGTTCCTTATAATTAAAGTGTTATTCTTTCCTCTCATATTTGCAATACCTCCATAGATAGGATATGATACGGATGTAATTTACGTATTCGAGATCTCAATTACGTTTTACTATGTTGATTCAAGGTTGAAAAGCCCACCATATCCTTAGTCCATTGTTATTTAACTAATAATACTATTCTCCACTAAAATTGTTGATTTCAAATGATTGCTAGGAATTTATAAAATAGCACCACCTTTACAATTTACCACACTAATGTTTGAGTTTGTAAAATTTAATTTAATTTCTTAAGGTTGGCTAAGTTCTAAATTTATTAAGCCGCTACTTGATGAGGAGTACATATTTGAAAACTATGTTTTGTCAATATAAATTGATACTTTTCTGTTTGATTTAACACTTAATGCTGAACCAGAGCTAGTTTTATAGTTAGTAAAAGTTTAGTAATCTATGAAATCATTTTTTGAAGTTAAGTATATTTCAAGAACCTCACTTTAATCATATATTGAGTCAAGTATGGCTATAGCTGCACCTGGTTTATTAAGATTTACTCTGGAGTCAGTATTTCCATTGAATTAGTTTTAGTCAATAAGTATTGGAGACAGTGGCTCAAGTAAATAAACATCTAAAGCCTAATTTGCATTTCCTTTATCGAACTTATTTTAACTCATCTAAATGATACGGCATTTTGAGCAATATATTGATCCACCTAGTAAGGAATTCTAATTTACAAATGATGTGTTATAAAGAGTGAAGTTAGTGATTCCAGAACCTTAGATTCTAAGACCAGCTCCATATTATGCACTTGCACATCCTGAAAATTAAGAATTTATAACATTTATATTGCTCTATTTACCAGTTCCATTAATAAAAATTGCTGAACCTTAATCAAAATAATTATCCAAAATATTTTAATAAACTGAAGATTCTAAGTAGTAATATTGATGGCAAGTAATAGAAGAATTAGTAAGATTGAAAACAAAATTATCTTATGAATGGGACGAGTATAAGAACCGTCCTCCACCTCCTCTTTACTAACCATATTAGAATGCAAAAACATCTATTGCTTCTAATTAATCAATTATCATCGATCCAGCAGATGCTATCCAAATTGATCCCCCCATGCCATTATAATAATATTAACTAGCACCAGCTATATTGTTGACGCAATACATATTTGTTATAGAAACTTTTATTGTATTAACATCAAATTTAAAAACAGGCCCATCGCCCTATGAATAAATATCTATGATATTCAAATCTGAAATTTAGATTTAAGTACTATTAGGCTCAAGTTCATTATCAGATTTTCTATACACAATATCAAAAATTCTACCATTCCACCCGAAGGATTGAGTTTTTGAAAATATGGTTTTAATAGTAAGATTTTAAATGACAACTTCACCGAGTGATGTTCGATATGGTTTCCTTATATAAATTTTAAATATATTACCAATACCATTAATGCCCATTACACTTGATCCTGCGTAAAAATTATATAGACTAACATTTATCAATTCTAAGTTTTCTGCTTCTACTTCAAAAATGGGTTTTTAACAATACATGCATATAATGTCAGATAACACAATATTATTTATACTAGCTTACTTCGCATAAATACCATTTGTATTTGAAAAATTAGGAATAATATTTTGAGCCTGATTGATATTTTACGAATGTAGATAGTAATAGATATTGCTCCAGTAGACAAAAAATGAAGAAGTAAAATAGAGTAGTGCTTGGTCATTTGGGTCAATTCTTATTAATGGGTTTGAAAACCCTTTTATTCTATCATCACCAGACAACACATTTCCTTAAATTTCATCAGTAAAAAAAGTTGTGAATGGTCCTATGATATTTGAGAAAGTATTGCTATCAAAGTAAAATTAGCCATAAAATTCACTTAAATGGATTGCTTATGCTCTATTATTATCATAATTTGTTGATTCAACCAGCCATATTTCTATAAATGATACCTTTTTCATACTCAAGTAATTAACTTTACTCATCTTGAGTACAGCCAGCCCTAATGTGGTACTGGGATAAAGATTGCTATACTTCATAATTTCTGGCACCATTGGTTCTATACTAGCAGAACTGTATTCTGTATTACTTATATAAATATTAAATTCTTAAGAAGCATCACCTGATTTTTAATAGGTTTCACTATTTAAGACGATTCTAGGAAAAGAAGTTATGTCAACTAGTGCTTTTCCTCCTGTGAATGTACTAGCAGTTATAGTGTTTGATTAAAATGTTAACTGATTCATGTAGACTGTATAGCTATAAGAGTTATAGTTAAATGGAGAAACTTTAGTTGCTACTGTAAAACTACCTAAGTATCGAGATTTCATTGATGCAATGCTACCAATTGAATATTAGTCATTAATAGTGGATTAAGTAGCAAGGTCATTAACACATTACAGTGTTAATGTCCCTCCGCTGTGAAAGACACATCCATTGTTTTGCTCAAAGGTATTGCTTTCTATTAAATAACCTCCACAAAAAATATTATTGTTGTCTGGAAGTGTAGTATAAATGTCTGAATTTGAGACTCCTCTAGCTCTTATGTAAACAACATTTGTGTCATAATACCCAAAATTTTAATAAAATGCGTTTTTTCCAAGGATAAATCTATGATATCTATGTCTTAGGTCTAAATTGATTATCCCTCTTGTTCCTGAATTTTATTAGAAGCTAAATTTAATTATTAATAATTTAATCTTACGTGTTTTCTACTATATCCAAACGATAGTCGAATTCCACAATAGAAATTAGAGATTTGAGTTAAATGACTGATTTGATTCCTAAAGAAGGATATTAGTCAACAAATAGAGATTTATTCATTGATTTAATTTATTTTCCAACATCGCATGTCTAGTATTTGACATGATTCTCCTCAAAGGTATTATTAAGAATTTAAATGTGGCCTTTGAAATCTTCTAGATCTACTATCATTCCATTAAATTGCATCTTCAATTTAGGATCAACCCATAAAGGTGAAGTTCTTTTTTCTTTTAAGAATCCAAAATATCTAAAGCTAGAACCTTGAATAATTAATCCATAGCACGGAGTAGAGTCTAAGTTATTAGGACTACAAAAATTTGAACCAGGATATGATATTGAAGCTATTTCTTATTCTTATTTTTAGAATACCTGATATTGCAAGTTATTAGATCTTAATTTGTAGGCATTTTCGAATGAGTTTGGTATGATGTCAGTTCTATTGAAGTAAACTTTCTTGTTTCTAATGATTGCTCCACAAGTATTGAAGTTTATGAATTGACTATTTGTTATAGTTATACTACTTGACCTCGGGCTCAATTCAATAAAGGAGTTAAAATTGTAGATAAAATTTTCAAAGATACAATTCTAAATTAGTATTTGAAAATATAAAAGCAGTTACTGTGATAGAAAGAGTAGCTAATGTAACATAAAGCTATTGTGTATAAATTTCAAATTTAAAGAAAGATCCTCCAGATGCAATGAAGCAGTCTTCAGTTCTAAAATATTAGTTTGCAATGTAATTACGGTTTTTCTTTCATTATGCATTAAGATTTTGGAACAATTTCTTTAGCAGAATAGTCAGTCATACAGCATGAAGTGCTACCTTGCATAAGACACCTATTAGCATCATTTTCTGGACTGAGAATGGAATCAATAGCGTCAAAATGTATATTGCTTATTCTAAAATTTTTTCCAATAATGAATTTCCATTTATCTCCTAATTTATAGTTCACTTTAACAATTGATTCATCTTCTGTGTATATATTGATATTCCCAGCTTGTGAATACTAGTCATAATATACTGGCATATATTAAGGTTTGTCGGTAGGAAGCATTGCGTGTGGGCCTCCTACTTTTAAAATTATGTTGATATTTGCATTGTAATAGGGGGCGCCTAATTCATTGGCCCTTGTGATAGCATCTTGTAAAGAATTGTATGCATTTGTGTAAGATCCATCGATTGTGTTTACATCGTTAAGATTCTAACTATTCATATGGTTTACATATATAGTTCCAAATGTTGTTTGCCCGCTTTTTGAAAGGCACACACCATAAGTTCTATCTCTAAACCCTTAAGTAGATAGATAAGACATAAGTTTGCAAGATTTACAATCCCCATTTGAAGCGCATTCGTAGCATGAAGTACTGCATGCAACACAATATGATGATTCTAAAGTACCTCTTCTATTATATAGAGCGAGACCATATTAACCTCTTGGACATTTAGTAACACAAGTCATTGTTGAATTATTATAATATCCATCTTTACAAGCCTTGAATACAGAGACTGTGCTAATTGAGCTCATTGTGCATCTCAAAGGGTCAGGGTATAATCCATTTGATTGTTGGCAGTCTATGAATATTTTTTTAGAAATTTATAAGTTATACCAGCACAAGTTAATACTCCAGCAGAGAGAAACTCATCATAGCCTACGTCACAGATGTCGCAATTTTTATCAGCTGTAGGTTCAATACATTTTCCAGTATTTGTATCTGAATATAAGAATTATTACTTTTGAGGCTTACATTAAAAGCAATTATTTATATTCACTTAGTTAGTAGTGTCCTATGTCGAAGTAGCTTTTAAATAAAACCCATCTTCGCACATTAGACAATTTTTGAACCCATTTGGATATGTTTTGAATAATAAGCAATTATTAACAACTTAACCTGTGAGTGAATACTTAGCTACAAATCTTAAGATTCTAATAAAATTACAGCAATCAGTTGAGGAATCAAGATTTTTACACTGCAGACAAACATTTGCATTATTTGAAGAGCATTTATCACATATTTTAGAGTTATTACATTCTAAAAATAATTTATGAAAAAGATGTATGTACATTGGCAAATCCTAAAAGTCTTTTGGAAGGTAGCTAATGCATCAGTATCTAATGTAGAATTCCAAGCTTAATTCTAATTTTAAGCCTAACAAATCTCACAGCCAGTCATTAGATTGCAACTTCCACAGTGCTCACCACAATCTAAAAGGGTATCAGATATTTAATAATACATTTGCACTTTCCAGTAGAAATATCGTTGACGTATGAGTTATGGGCTTAACTACAATCAGGGACACAAAATTAAAATTTGGTTGGATAATAAATAGAGTTTGTAGCATTTTGAAGGAGATAAAGACCATCATTGCACCGATTGCAAGAAACAAAGAAAGTGTTCAATGTTCCATTTTTTACAATAGTTTCAAAGCATTGTGTACATCCAAATATTTAATCAGTGCATTCTAATTAAAAATTAATGGAGAAAGTTTAATATTGATAAAGCCTTACTCAAGCAAGAATTAGTTTGAGAACTCAGAAACTCATCTCAATTACCTATTATTTTGTGAAATGAAGATTGATACATTATGCAAGAGTGGAAGATATAATGCTTAACAAAAAAATAAGTTATTTCATCAATATCATTGATTTCGGTTTATTTGTAAAACTAGATTAGAATATATATTTATATCAAACTACCAAAATTAATCTTAATAGTCTAATTAAAATTTCAATATTTTACTATACTTTTTTCTTTTGATTGTTTTAATATTTAATTACAAAAGCTCTATTTACTTTTCCAAGTTATTTTAGGATGAAGGGGTTTTGGGGTTTTGGGGTTTTGGGG